GCCTGAAAAAATTGCAAATGATTGCAGCTCCGAGTGCTTGGTAGAGGAGAGATTGAAAGTGACTGATGCTTCTCACTCGCTCGCCAAGGCTTCTGTTAAAGACTTTTTTCATTCAGACGGTGTTTGCTGCCCACTTGTAGCTCCCCTATTAATGTGCTCTATATTACTTAGTATACAGTGACGCTGTTGACTGTTTAATGATGGTATAGATTTGGTAAAAATGTTGTAATCAAACCTGTGTTGAGCCACTCGTAGACTTGCTGTACTTTAGATTTAAACTCCCGGTATAACCCGTCTCTCTCTGAGCTTTCTTCTAGCATGGCTGAACTTTCTCAGTTGTAGCTGTGCAAAATTTTTGTAAAATGCTATTGTGCTTCTGTGTCTATTCAAGTAAAACTTTGCTTCAGTCACAAAGAGTGATCCTTATTATAATGCACATAACACATAAGTGTGTTTTGCTGATTGTTTGATAGTGTCCTACTTTTAAGGCTTTGCAGCAGTGCTCTGTCAGTTTATTATGTAGCTAAGCACTTAATATAAATTAGTCTAAGACTGCAGAATCTGAGTGCGTCTGTGTTAATTGGTCATGTTTTGAAGAAACTGCTGCTTTTAGTGATCCACTGTACCTAAAAAAAACTTTAAAAGAAAAATTAAAAAGCCTTAAAATAGGTTAAACTGTTATTGCAGCTGCACAATCTGAAACAGAAAAAATCCAACCTTTCATTTGAGGACATTTACTCAGTAGGGAAAGTAGCATGTTAATAAATAATTGTTTTGAATAAAATCCTCTCTAAAATAAATGTTAACATAATTTAGGTTTTTTTTACGTACACTCTTGTCTTTTAACTCAATCTGAGTCTTTTAATTTACTTTTAATTAGCCTTTCTTAAGTTGAACTTGAAACAGAGACCTATTTATTTTACATACTCTTCAAAATGGTAAAGACAAGAAAAGATGACATTCAAGGAAGCCTGATGTGTTTTGATCTTCAAAAGCCAGGAAAATGGCGATAGGTAAACACCCACATATAGTTAAAAAGCCTAAAACAAGTGGAACTGTGACAAATAAGGCTGAACAAGTTATCAGGTTTATGTTTCCACCCTTCATACAGTTTTAGGGCTTTTAACACACCTTTACCACAGGGCCTCTAGTTGTGGTGGCTTTAAAATGGGGCCAGCGTTCTATCAGACATGGAAAGGTTTATCAGTTTTCCTTGTAATTAAGTTTTCACCAAGCATGAAGAGAGTTTTGTCACACAAATCTTGGTTATTTCCCCAATCTTTTGACTGAATGTATTTCTTACAGATATTTTTGTTTCCAATATAAGGGGTTTATTAAACAGAGGATTCCTCTCATGGTCAGTTTAATTTGCTTGACTTGTTTGTCTGTTTTATTGGACAGCTGTTAGAGGTGAGAAATCCTGAGAAGCCCACTATAGTCACCCTGCTAACAACAGCGAGGAACATCTGATTATCTCTGTATTACGAACAGTTCAACGCAATAGTGTTTCAGTTTATTTCTCTTGGTGGTTTAGCAGTTTAATAATCATGCAAATTCTAAGCTTTGACACATAATTAACATTTTGAAGATTTTCTTTTTGCCACCTATTTTAGTTGATAATGGTTCTGATCCAGATTGGGCCACTACAAGTATTTTTGACTAGGGTGACTAAAACCACAGATTTGAAAGGTAACAAGCAACCAAAGCTTTCACTGCAGTTGGGGAGTCAATTAGGTTATGAGGTTAAACTCCAATTTATGCTTTTTTTGAGAGAAAAAAAAGCATAATGTCCTTTTATGTTTGCACTGTTCTGCGTCAGTAGTAACTGTTTGGTATGCAGAAAGCGTTTTGGCGACACGTCATGGTTGAGTCACGAGGCAATGATAAAGATGTCAAAGTTTACAGGAGTTGTGGTGTTGAAATAAGTTGTGAAACCTGAAGACCTAGACTAAGGAACGTTGTTTCTCCTCTCAGTTTCCCCTCAGACAGCAGAGTTCACAGCTCTTCAGAGTCCCTTCAGTAATTTCATTTCAATTTTAATTAATTTGGTGTTGTTTGATTTATACTCACTGCCTATTCTGAGCCAAAACAGATTCAGAATAAAGAAATAAGTAATTTTTCTGTTTGAAACTGAAACCTGATAAAATGGTTTAATCTACAGAGGAATTATCAGCGTTAACTTTCCTTGATGACTGGCCTGCTGCTGTGGTTCAAATCTGCCCATTAAATAGATTTCTAATTAGATGAAAGGTACAGAGGCTTTACTGATGGCAGTTCAAATAAGAAACACGCCAATATGTGTGTATGTGTGTTGTACTGACAGTGACTTCCTTCCCTTTTGCGTTGTTGAGATTTGTTTTAAATAAAACTATAAATATGGTGATTTTTTCCTGTCTTGACAGATGAAGCTGAAAAGGTGCCAATCCTATACTTGACTTTTAATTCTTCACTTTTCTTTAAATGTAGACCAGTGGTGTAGTTGTTACTCTTGTGTTTCTGATCTGTGCGGTTAATAACTTTCACACTGTGATGCTACGACCACTGACAGCTGTTCTCTCTGTGTGTTAATGGTTTGAGATATTTTCATTAAAAAGTGGTAATGGCATGTTGTTATTGGTGTGTAGTTTTTATTGTGCTTTATGAAATAGAGAAATTGTTTTTCTTAAAATATAAAATAACTATACTTCAAAACCAGCTCTAAAGTTGATCACCTTCTTTTATTGGCTGTAACAGAAACACTTCATGTAAATACTTCAATCCACTTTTCACATTTTGTCACAACAAACATTTCAGTGTATTTTATTGGGGTGTTATAGACCAAGTACTGTTTAATTGTGTAGTGGAGTATTTGTGCACATCTAAAGACGTCTTTGCCCCTTTTGCAAAACAGGTCACGCTCATATTGGATGAACAGCATCACAGAACATAAATTTTCAGGGCTTGCCTAAAATATTAATTTTTTATATATATATATATATATACAGGGGTTGGACAATGAAACTGAAACACCTGGTTTTAGACCACAATAATTTATTAGTATGGTGTAGGGCCTCCTTTTGCGGCCAATACAGCGTCAATTCGTCTTGGGAATGACAGATACAAGTCCTGCACAGTGGTCAGAGGGATTTTAAGCCATTCTTCTTGCAGGATAGTGGCCAGGTCACTACGTGATACTGGAGGAGGAAAACGTTTCCTGACTCGCTCCTCCAAAACACCCCAAAGTGGCTCAATAATATTTAGATCTGGTGACTGTGCAGGCCATGGGAGATGTTCAACTTCACTTTCATGTTCATCAAACCAATCTTTAACCAGTCTTGCTGTGTGTATTGGTGCATTGTCATCCTGATACACGGCACCGCCTTCAGGATACGATGTTTGAACCATAGGATGCACATGGTCCTCAAGAATGGTTCAATGGGCGCGTCCTTGGCAGTGACGCGCCCATCTAGCACAAGTATTGGGCCAAGGGAATGCCATGATATGGCAGCCCAAACCATCACTGATCCACCCCCATGCTTCACTCTGGGCATGCAACAGTCTGGGTGGTACGCTTCTTTGGGGCTTCTCCACACCGTAACTCTCCCGGATGTGGGGAAAACAGTAAAGGTGGACTCATCAGAGAACAATACATGTTTCACATTGTCCACAGCCCAAGATTTGCGCTGCTTGCACCATTGAAACCGACGTTTGGCATTGGCATGAATGACCAAAGGTTTGGCTATAGCAGCCCGGCCGTGTATATTGACCCTGTGGAGCTCCCGACGGACAGTTCTAGTGGAAACAGAGAGTTGAGGTGCACATTTAATTCTGCCGTGATTTGGGCAGCCGTGGTTTTATGTTTTTTGGATACAATCCGGGTTAGCACCTGAACATCCCTTTCAGAAAGCTTCCTCTTGCGTCCACGGTTAATCCTGTTGGATGTGGTTCGTCCTTCTTGGTGGTATGCTGACATTACCCTGGATACCGTGGCTCTTGATACATCACAAAGACTTGCTGTCTTGGTCACAGATGCACCAGCAAGATTTGCACCAACAATTTGTCCTCTTTTGAACTCTGGTATGTCACCTATAATGTTGTGTGCATTTCAATATTTTGAGCAAAACTGTGCTCTTACCCTGCTAATTGAACCTTACACTCTGCTCTTACTGGTGCAATGTGCGATCAATGAAGACTGGCTACCAGGCTGGTCCAATTTAGCCATGAAACCTCCCACACTAAAATGACAGGTGTTTCAGTTTCATTGTCCAACCCCTGTATATATACTGTATATATATATATATGTAAAGAAATGGAGAGAAGGAGAGAAGAATGGAGGAGAGAAAGAAGGTTGAAGACAATAAAAGATACTAGAAGAGTGCTTCTACACCTCAGAAACATATAAAAACAGCAGTAATGTTACTGAAAAGTGCACAGTGCTAACGAATGCAAGATGTATTTGGTGGTACCTGAGGCGCAATATAAAACATCTGTGTTTCTGTTAACACCTGAATCCAACACCTGTGGCTGTAAGTGTGAGCTTGCTTGTGTTTATAAGGTTTCTCCATAAAAATATGCCATAGCGAGTGTGAGGAGCCACAGACATGCCCCCCTGGACCCAAGGGAGGACCAACTCCGGGACTACTGCAACCCCCCCACAGAGTAGCAGAGGAGAGCCCAAGGGGAACCACCCAGCAGCCACAGTGCAGAAGCCCAAGGGAGCTGCAGCGACAAGGCAACAGGCCCTGTCGGCAGCTGTCTACGCAGATCCAGCCATGGACCCAGATAGCGAAGACCCCACAGGGCCACTCCCAGCCAGGACACAGATATTGAACACATGCCCGTGTTATGATCCTGTGGTGTCTGGGTTTCTTTTGTGTCTCTGTCATTCTTTTGTGTCATGTTCATTTCTCCTTTTGTTTATGTTCTCTATGGAGTTGACATTTGTGTTCTCTTATGTTTGCTGTCTCGGCTTATTCTTGTGTTATGCTCCTAATACATTGGGAATTATTTCTGATAGGGGTTGCAGGGTGGCGCAGTTGGTAGCACTGTTGCCTTGCAGCCAGAAGGTCCTGGGTTCGATTCCAGGCCAGGGGTCTTTCTGCATGGAGTTTGCATGTTCTCCCCGTGCATGCGTGGGTTCTCACCGGGTACTCTGGCTTCCTCCCTCAGTCCAAAGACATGCCCGTTAGGTTAATTGGTCACTCTAAATTGCCCTTAGGTGTATGAATGACAGTCATTCATACACCACCTTAGGTGTATGAATGACTGTGTGCATGGTTGTTTGTGTGTTTCCCTGCGATGGACTGGCGACCTGTCCGGGGTGTACCCCGCCTCTCGCCCATAGACTGCTGGAGATAGGCACCAACTCCCCCGCGACCCACTATGGAATAAGCGGTAGAAAATGACTGACTAACTGACGGATCTTTATTGAATTTTCCCCCTTGGTCTGATAGTTTCTGTTTCTCTATTTTAGTTAATTAGTCTCCATCCTTCAGCTTCTCTGCCTTCATTCTGCCTCATCTGCTCCACATTTCCTCTGATTAGCTCTTCTGGTTCATTTGTCATTTTCCACCCCTGCCTCAGTATTTAAGCTCATTGGTTCTCTTGGTTTCTTGTCGGATTCTTCCGAAAAGAAACCGTTCGCCGCTCCTCCATTTATACCCACCCTTCACTAATCTGACAACCATGACACTGTATCCTTGTTAAGGAAATGCTTCCCCACAGCACGATGCTGCCACTATCATGTCTGGCTATAAGATGGTATGTTCTGACTGATGTGCAGTGTTTGTTTATAGCCGACATAAAGTACTCAGTTTGGCCACACCTTTGCTTTATCCGTCATAAACACTTTTGAAAAACTTGGGATTTCTTACGGCCTTTATTTCAACATTTGCTCTCTTCTTGGCACACTTATATAAAAGCAACATTTCTGAAGTGTAGGCTACAGATAAAAACTGTCCTACCAGCAAATTCTTCCACATGAGCTGTGGAGCTCTGCAGCTCCTCCCGAGTAATTATAAGCGTCTTGGGGGCATATTTGATAAAACAAAAGTTGATTAAAGTGTACTCCTTGGGCCTCATGATGCTGTTTATTAACTAATTGCTGTTGGACTGGCATATGAAATCCAGATTAAATTTGCGGCTGTGATAAGACAAAATGTGTAAAAAGTTTAAAGGCTCTTCATGTTTTTGCAAAGAACTGCATCTGGGATGGAAAGTGCTTGTATCTTTGAATATGCAAACAAAGTCACCATCCTTGAAGTGTGTTTAAAATTTCATGTTTTTGTCTTTCTTCCATCTTTGACTGCTCTTTTCTAATTACCTGTTTGGACACTACCCTGTATTTTAATTTTAATTCTGCATATGGCTCATGATGTCCTCCCACATAAAATAAAAAAATATATACCAGAGTTGCTGGGCCTTTTCTTCATTTGGTGTTCTACCTGGAATATAGCATTAGAAGTACACACACAAATGGGAACATGAAATGTCTAATCACTGCCATGCTATCAGTAATTGGCAGGTAAAGGCAGTGCACCTTCCTTCTTAGCCTCAGGGAAGAGTTAGTTTTGCCTGCATCTGTCGTATTCTGCTCCTCTTCATCCTTTCTGACATCTTTTTATTTGGAGTGAGGTGTCTGTTTTAGCAGTAGAGATGTCATCTGTTGAATATCATAGAAGAGAACATCACTTAGCTAACAATACTCCAACCAGGATAAATATTTATAAAGCTACATATCCTGGTGAACTGAACAGGTAATCATTTACAAAATTCACGAATAACTTAAACAGAAATCTAGCAAGAATTAATCAGCTAATGTTCAATTTCTCTTTCATATAAAATGGGAATTGTTTACATAGGACACAATGGGATTTTGGAACAATGCATTTTTAAATCATTGTATTCAGTCCCCTTGTGTCAATACTTTGTAGACCCAGCTTTCTCTGTAAATACAGCAACAACTCTTTTGGGGGCATGTCTCTACCTGTATTGCACATCTAGAAACTAAAATATATGTTTATTTTAGCTCAAACTTTCAGATTTAAATGCTGAGCATTTGTGGTTCTACAGATTCCTTATTAGATTTGGGTCTGGCCTTGGACTGGGCCATTCTAACACATTATATGCTTTGATCTAAACCATTACAAAGTAACATTGACTTTATGTTGATTGTCATTGTTCACATTCTTATATTGCAGTACAATACAATAATAGAGTCATGGTCAGATCTAAGTGCATACAATGCATTTTGTTGCATCACAGGGCAACACAGAAACACCTGTGACAAACAACCATGCACTCACACATTCATACCATTTAACCTAACAGTCATGATTGTGGATGGTGGGAAGAAATCAAAGTACCCTGGGTCCTTTGGGAGAACATCCAAACTCCATGCAGAAAGACCTCAGGCTGGGATTAGAACGCGGACCTTCTTGCTGCAAGGCAACAGTGCTACCAACTACTCCACCGTGCCACCCACTGTGGCTGGACAGCTTCATTGCCTCCAGAAATCGGTTTTGCACTTCATGAAGTTTGGAACTTTGGCCTTAAAATAACCATGTTTTTAACTGAGGTAAATGAGGCATTAACCATCCAGATGATGGCTCATTTGCACTGTATTTACCCTATAAACAGAAGGAGGAAATCATTCTTCTTCTCAAAATTATTATTTGCTTGGCTTGTGCTACTTTTAGAAAAATATGCGAGGGAAAACCGTTGAGGGTGATTTCACCTCCTAAACAACATTATTAATAGGGGTTCTGATGCTTTGGTTTCAGCCTTGAACACATGAGCTTTTCCGAATAAAAATCTGCAAAACTTTAAAACTAGATATGCCTCATAATTTCCCTTATCACTCACTGACTTTGTTGCTGAAATCCTTCATATTGTTCTGTCTAGGGAGTCCAGTTGGGTATGCCTGAAGCTTTGGACAGGCTCAGTATATCTATAACTGTAACTCCAAGGTTCTAAACCCACCTAAACCCTGGCAGCTCATCTTTCCACATCTTATAGAACTTTACTGATTCATAACCTTTTTCTCTCCATGCAATATCTGCTTTAACCTCCATCAACTTTCTCCCTGTTGTGAAACCTAAGGTCTTTTTAAACTGGCCTGCTCTCTATTCCCTACAGAAGAGCCTAAGTGTTTCTGTAATGGAGCCAAAAGCAGTGATTCCTAATTTCTTTTTTTAATCATTTTCTGACTATTTTTGAATTAATAATTTTGTTATAAATATACAATTAGCCATCATTTTTTTTACTTGCACACAGTGGGATTCTGACCATAGTTGTTGGGGACCATTGACTTAAAGTATCCCAGCTTTGTCCCTCTGGTATATCATCCCAGCTAATATTAACAATTTTAATCAAAACAATCTTTAAAAACATAAATAAAGAATGTGTTTTCCAAAGCCAGCAGTCTAAGTTAATTTTGTGCTTCTACTAATTTCTCATTAGTTTGTGTTTTGTTCCTTTACAGATTAGACCTCTTGGGACGCTGGCCTTGGTGGGAGACTGTCTCTCAATTAATGAAGCTATTACCAGGTGCTAAAGGTGTGTAACATGTGTTTGTGCGTTCTTCTAATTCTTAGAACTAGACGCAAAGGCAAATCTGCTACTGAAGTACCTCTATCAAGCAAACAGCGTCTCAGCGCACAGACACAGTTTGACTACAGTTTAATAAGGCAACAAGCATAAATTTTTGAGGAAAGTCAACACATTTGTAGTATATTTATGTAAATTACTACCAGAGTAAATAGCTTTGCGTTCTCAATGCCCAGAGCTCCCTGGGTAACACAAACTGTGAAGAAAAATAACACCTGCTAAAATCTGGAGGTATTTATCGTTTAGGAGAAGAAAAAAAAAACAAAAAAACAGCAGTACATAACAGAAACTAAAGACCCTTTTCATTTATTAAGTGAAATTAAAAGGATGTAATGGTGCCCAAATGTTTCTTTTTAGTCTGATATAATTGAAGGTTAGCATTTTATTTTAGCATGTTTATATAGATTACATATAAAATGCTAGAATTTAAAAGGTTTTCTACTCCACTCAATTTTTTTAAATCTTTGATTGAATCAGTTAAAGGGGTGCAGTAATCCATGTGATTTATTGATTTAAACAACCTTGTGTTGATCTGCCTGACTAAAATTAAGATTAAAAGCTTGTTGTCTCCTCCTTCCTCAACTCATTCGGCAGCAAGGTAACCTCCAAAAACCTTGGCTGCCATAATTGAAAATATTCATGATCTGATGTTGTTAAAATGCAGGCCAAGCAATAGACTCACAGCCCTTTTTCTTCTCTGCATCCTCACCGTTACCAATTCATCACCTTCAACGCGAATGCACATGCAAACATACTATTAGGTTTCCTTTGCCAGCTGCATAGGAGATGCTGCCGCTGCATTTGGTGGGGGAAGAAAATGTTTCCAATATCCTATGTCTGCCACTGTTCATTTCCATCTGATGCTGAATGTCTCTCACAGCTTGTAAATTGATTTATGTTGCTGTCTTCATCTAAGTAAGGGAAAGACGGAAACACAAGAAAGGCTGAGGGTGAAGGGAGTCGATTCTGGATGCGGTGCAGCATTATCAGAGAGAGCCCATACTCTGTGGGGCAAATTTGATTGGGCCAATTTTCATCCACGAGTTTCCTGACTAAAGAGGGGAAAGGTTTAGGGCTGTTATTGGCTTTGAGATTGCTATGGCAACCACATAGAGGAATGCTCTCACAGTGAAGGAATGAGACAAGAGAGGGTGAGTGTGTGTGTCTTGTGGGGGAGTCAAGAGCAATGTTGTTAAATCTGCCGTTTAGTGCAATGGCCGCCTGCTGTGTTTATACATTAACAGTGATTTGCTGAAAACTTTAAGTGGCGTTCCTCAGGGTGAGTGTTGTTCCTTTAAAAAGTCGCAAGCATAGGATAGTGTGGTATAGTACTGTTTGTACAGCATAAGTCAACAAATGTTAGTTTCAGAGCTTCCAAACCTACCAAACACAGATGTAACTAATGGTATTTAGCACACATTAATCTAGGGCTCAGCTTCCGGAAAAACATGCAGTTCCCTCCACATGAAATGATGTGTTAAATGCCTTAAAATGAAA